TTCTGACTTATTCCCCAGAGAGACCAAGAATCCAGCACATTTTGCCACTGAACGTTTTCATCTTTGGCCTATGCTTGCTCCTTCATCCCTTCCTTCTCAATGGATGCTGTTTCTGTGAGACTGCAGGACTTGAGTAACTCCTTCAGGGCAGCAAGGCCTTCAGACCGCTGGTGATATTCCTGGAGGTTGCAATAGCTCTGGTAGAGCTGTTGTTCTTCAGCACTGGGGCTCTCCTTGCCGAAGACCAACTGACAGCATCGTTTTACTTCTGGGTAATCGATGAGGTCTGAGTAGGAGTTCAGACGACTTTGCTTCCTCTGAAGAGCCTGGCGCATGTACTCCATGGTTAATTGTCTCAGTTCTTCCATCTTCTCTAGGCTGTCACTGGAGCCAGCATTTCCGGTTTTCTGTAATTGCTTCAGCCTTTCCCTGTAACGGCACATGACCAGGGTGTAGAGGGGAGTCTTGTTTTCTGTGGATCTTAGTGCTCTTACAAGAAGTGTGTTAGCTCTATCTAGGTTACCCTTTTTCTGGTAAAACTGGGATGCCTTTTGCAGTACATCCGCTTGATCAGGAGCTTTTCTCAGGGCGTCGTCAATCAGTCGCTCTCCTTCAGCTTCTTCTCCCATTTTCTGCAGTTTCAGGGCCAAGAGAACTTTGACATACTGGTTCTCAGCGTTCAGCTCCATGGCCTGCTTCAGAGCATCCACAGCGAACTGCTTCTCGGGCTGTTCTTCTAGACGGCTTGTGGCGATTGCCAGCCCAGACGAACACTCTGGATCACTGGGCTTCTCTTCTAGAGCCTTTAGGAAGCACATTTTAGCTCTTTCATTCCTTCCACACTTTAGGCGTGTCCATCCCTCCTCACAGTCAAGTTCTGGACATTCCACGCTGTAAGGATTTGCATACTTCTCGCACACGTGTCTCACCTTGTCAACATAAGCCTGAGCTTCTGAGAGCCGGCCCATGTGGTAGTAGATCCAAGCATAGTTTCCCCAGGTGACCAGATGTCTAATTTCTGCTTGATCATCCTGCTTTGGCTCCACTGAGACTTCAGCTTGCCTTAAGCACTCCAAGGCTGCCTCCTTTTCACCATCCAGGTATTTTATATAGGCCAACAAGTTGAACATTGTCGCTTTGTGCTCAGAGTTTAAAATGTCAATCTGGTTTCGCACTCTGTCTTCCACATGACTTGAGAGACTTCCTTCCCAGAACAAGTTCCAGGTGAAATGGCATTTCAGCTGTGGAAGAATTTTTTCCAGAGAGTTCCTGGTGACCTCACTGTGGAGAAAACACACATGGTCACTTGGATCGTCTTGTGCATCCCTTGATGGTTCATTTTACATGATAGCTTGACTGAGCCCCAGGAGACTGAAAAATGAACTATCTTCTTGTGGATGTTGGACTCAGAGTACAGTGTGAGCCATGGGCTCCAGGCTGGATTTGCTTTCTGGCTATTCTTTCCAATTACCAGTTTCTCAAACACCCATTAAATATTCAAGATTTGTTTCTGTCCATACCCTTTCTGCTCCTCCCACAAGCCACCTCTTTCTGTTGTCCCTGTGCACAGTTTCACACACCTGACTCAAGCGGCATTTTTTACAGTGAAGGAATGGGAGACTTAGTGGTGAATACTGCATCTTCACATTTCAGTGTACATATGCACAAACTTGTGGCCGTTTTAAAATAGCCCCATCCCTTGGCCCTCTCCTCTTAGCCTTATCTCAGATCTACTCTTTCAATCATTTAGAAATTCCTGAAATTTGCATTTTAATCACACCAAAGTCAATTATGATAGAGCACAAGCATAGTGCAATTTCAGTGACAGTAATACTTTATCTCTGTTTCTACTTAACAGGGTAGAGGAAACCTAGC